GAACCTCAACGAACTCCGGCACCGAAACATCCTGACTGACACCACTCTGGTGGTCGGCACTGTGCACCTGCGGGCGCACTGTGCCGTGCTTGTGGCCTGCAGGTTGGTGCACGGGTCCCCTCTGCATTCTTCTGTCATGCACATTTCTGTGTGTGTTCTCAGTTACCTGAGGAAAACTGACTGACTCTGTTTGGTTAAAATGAACAAAGGTTTCTCTTCTCTTCCTAAGTACTATGGTAGCTTTTAGTTGATTTCACCTGAGAAATAGATTAGGTGCTTTACCCTTCACATTTTCCTGCTTGTGACTGGGGGCATCCTTGGTCTTCTTCTTCTTTTCCTTTCTTAATTCCCTTATCAAAACCATTGCAATTCATCCAGATTAATACAAACATCAGTTGCATATTTTATCTGAAATATTTCTGTCTCTCTTACTCTCCTCTCAGTGGGTTCTTCTACTCGCTGTACTCCCACGGCGTGTTGCTCCAGGAGCGTGGCGGCAGCGGGGAGCGGCTCACGGCCGTGTCTCTCCCCAGCACCTTGGACCCATCCAGTGTCTCCCTGCTGCTCGACTTCATGTACACCTCCCGCCTCCCTCTGACACCAAGCATCGTCCCTGGGGTGCTTGCTGTTGCGACCTACCTGCAGATGGACCACGTGGCTGATACCTGCCGAGATTTCATGCAGTTGCACTGGTGAGAACATCTGTTGTCAGGCCAGGACAGACTCTGTAGATTAGTTGTAGATGCTAGCGTGCACAATGAACTCAAACCACCATCCAGTGTAATTCAAACTGGATTAATTTTGATATCCAGTCTTTTTTATTTTTTACTTTTGTGACTGACAGGTTCTTTGTTTTTCAGCAAGAAGAATTTGAGTGCAAGACACCCACAGATAGAGCTGGACTCCAGGGTGTCTGTAGCCTCTGTGGTCCCCAAAGGAGGGGACCTACTTCATCCAGGATCCCAGCAACTACTCCCAGTGGCAGGAACAATGAGGCAAGAGAAGATGAAAATCTGTTTATTTAGATGAATGTTGCCATTTCATAATCTGATCCTGGCAACTAGAGTATATTACTGTGTGTCTGAGGGTATGACTTTAACAAGTCTACTGGTGGTTCGTGTGCCAGGTTTAGCTCATTAACTTGCTTCCTTTGTTTCTCCTACAGAGTCCCTGTGCAGGGAGGGGGCTCTCTCAAGCCAGGGGCTTTCACAACATCCCATTCTGGGGCAAAGGATGTGAAAAGAGAGCCTGAGTCACCCTCAACTCCATCTCCAGACAGCCCCACCCGCTCCAGCTGCCAACCAAACTCTCCAGCCGAGTCCAACACCTGTAACAAAAACCTTGCAGTAAGTTTAAAGTAGCTTAGAAAGATTCAAGGTCAACATGTGGTTTATTTTAATACTGACAACTTTGTCTTATAGGCAAACTGAAGTTACTGACAGTGTTGTGTTTATTTCTCCAGAGCGATACCAAAGCCACACCAGACCCAAAGGCCTGCAACTGGAAAAAATACAAGTACATTGTCCTCAACCCTCTCTGTGCAGCCACTACGGTGAAGGAAGAGTTGATGGAGGAACCCCAAAGTCAAGCATCACCCATTGTGGACAGGATGAGCTTGACACCCAAAGCACCAGCAGAGGTGTGGTCTGGTGAAGTGCCTGGTCAGATTGATAGGTAAGAGGCTTAGAAGGAATAATGGGGATTGTTATTTGGGAAAAATAAACACAGTTTGAGTGTAAATCTAAATGTATGAACCCCTCTCTTAGACAGGGGCAGGCCTCCTGCTACAAGGGTTCTGGCCGAGCCCCTCCCCTCCGTCCACCCCCGTCTGTGGATCACTCTACATTACCTCCCCTGCATGAGGGAACAGGTAGAAGCTAAAGCTCTGTCATACTGCAGACATTTTTAAACACATTATGCCTCAGATATTTGCAATCTTTCAAACATATTCCTTCAAATGCATGTGTGTTAAATGCTTTTCCTCTTTTGTCCACCTTTGTTCAGTCTCACCTTGCACCGTTTTCCCAAAACTGCACCCCACTGACCCAGAAGCTGCCCATAACAACCAGCATGCATCCAAGTGTGAGAACTACTATGGTCCCTACTGTTATTCTGGCAACCTTCAGGGAACCAAGACCATCTGCTCAGGTGAGCCTATTAGACATGCCTCCTATTCTCTATTTCTCTCTCTGTGTTCTTGTTTTAGGGACTGTTAAGTGACAGTGACCTTTACTCTGGCAGGTGAGAAGCCTTACCGCTGTAACGTATGCGGCGCTCAGTTCAATCGACCCGCTAACCTGAAGACTCACTCTCGCATCCACTCTGGAGAGAAACCGTACCGCTGTGACACCTGTGGTGCACGATTTGTTCAGGTAAGGGCTAACTTTGTGTGTGTGTGTGTGTGTGTGTGTGCGTGAGCATGAGCAGATTTTAGAGTTTCCTCTTTGTCTCGTACATTTCATTCATCTAATTTTGGGAAACACACTTAATTCATTTCTTGCTAAGATTTAGACACAAAACTCAATCTCAGCACCTAAAGATAAAAAAATGACAACAGTTCAGTCACTAAAAGGGAACAAAGAACATCATTTTGTTCACTGTGCATGTACACTTTTGCAGTGGTATTGCAGAAACATGAGGTGATGTTTGAGGGCTGAGACTGACGCCTGGTTTCACTGGTTTGTTCCACTTGTCACACTTCTAATCCTGTTTCTGCGGTTTGTTCTGGTGCAGGTCGCCCACCTCAGGGCCCACGTTCTGATCCATACAGGGGAGAAGCCTTACCCCTGCCACACCTGTGGCACCCGCTTCCGCCACCTGCAGACCCTGAAGAGCCACCTGCGTATCCACACCGGAGAGAAGCCTTACACTGTGAGTCAGAAACACACATTATCTGTTTGACAATCACAGAACCCCCTTATCATTGTCCTGCCACGTCCCTGCTGTCTAATCTGTTGACTTGTTGTTGTCCAGTGTGAGAAGTGTGACCTGCACTTCCGCCACAAGAGCCAGCTGCGTCTCCACCTGCGCCAGAAACACGGGGCTGTGACCAACACCAAGATCCGCTACAAGGTCCTGACCGAGCCCTACCAGCCCAGTCTGCAGGCCTGCTGAGGAGGATGACCTCTGACTCATTAATCATAACAGTCAGAATAATATCTGAACATCTAAATTTCAATCATTGTCAATCAATCAGGTTCAATCATTTTAACTTATTAGCACATGCTTTTTGAACGTACACATTTTAACAGATTGTTAAATCACCAGCTTGGACATCATATGATGAGTTACATTTGCAGATTTACAAATAACTCTAAGCATCTACATGTTGTTGGATGAGGTTCGGAGCTTACATAAAACAGTGTTAATGCGAACGATAATGGGCTAATTTGGAGTCCTGGGTTGATTTTCTGAGATGGAGATGATGTTAAGGAAAGTGTTTTTGAAGGTTTGTGAAGGGACATAAACAAAGGAGCAGGTGTAGTACTTCAGGTTGAGTGTACTCTGGATTTTGAAGAACTGTGAGTATGTGAAGTGTTTCAAGGAAATATAAAGCAAGTTTTTTTGAAGGAGAATGTGATTTTTGGAGTTTTTTGAGTAAAGTGAAAGTGGGTTTTAAGCCTGGCGAAGCACTTAATCGGTGTTAATAAGTTTTCTTTTTTAAATGTGACTTTGACTCAGATTTATCTTAACTTTAAGGCCTGGAGCCTGTGTGTTCTTTAAGAACATGTACAGTATGTACACAGTGATATCAGCTGCAGGCAAACGACTTAGTTGTCTTTTACTGAATTGAAAGTATAGGAATTAAATGCTATATTTCTTTCCGATATTTTGAGTAAGATGACTGTAAGCAATTGGATCATTAATAATATTAAATTTGTATGTGTATGGGTTCATTTGCTGGACAAACATGGTTTTGTACAATTTGAATGAAATTCTTTTTATATCAATTGGACGTTTTGTGCTTGGCGTTTCATTTATATGATGTGTGTAATATACGACGAACAAACACATGAACATCAATATCCAGAAACAAGTCTCAAGTTTCAAAAGGTTGTCAAAAATAATGTTGCTAGTATAGAAACAGTCCCAAAACGCTGACTGAACTGCTCATACTAAACTTGCAGTGATGCAGACTCTGCTCTTTCTGATACACGTCCCTCCTTCAGCCTTTGTCCTCCCTGAACTTCCTTCCTGTCATTAACACACATTTTCTACCCATGATTCATTTCTTCTGTCCCGCCATTTTTTTTTTTAAGTTTGTTTGTTTTTTTTTCTTGGTGTGTGGTGTGGAAACAATGAAGTCCAGGGCACCTGCTTCCTCCGGGCCAGAGTCTTAATACCCAGGAGACAACATGTGTGTGAGCTCGCTGGTGCTTCCTGAAGGTGGGGGTGATGGTGGGGGCTGCAGACCTCTGCTGACCTCTCCCACCCTCTGTCATCCCCGCTTCCAGCTCACTGATGAGTTGTGGCTAGCGGGGTTTATTGTCCATGCTCAGCAAACAGATGTTGGAAGTTTGACGGGACTTTCCAAACTTCAACTCCGTCATCCACAAAAGAAGAAACAACACACAGTGATGTAATTTCCCCCTTAATCAATTTCTAGCCCCTGCAAATCAGTTCACAAAAGTAATAAAGAGTTTGTGTAATATATTATGTAATGACTTTCCACCACTGAAATTACCTGACTGACCCACACTGACTTATTATTCCTTTAAGAACCGACTGATTAAGTCAGGCTGTGGCACCAGACTCAGGACAACAGGCCTCTGTCAGTAAGGTGAGGTGGACATGTTTAGGTCTTGTGCTTGCCTCCCTCTTGTGTTTGTCTCCTGAACACCCACAGGGCAGTTAACTT